TTGGAATTTTATCTTTGAAACGCCACACTTTTCTTTGAAATCGCTTTATTAGTTCTCGTGCAATAAGCGTTTTTGTGAAGCTCTAAAAATTACAACTACAACATTTGAACATAGCCCCCATACCTTAAGGTAAGACGTATTCTACGTCAAAAAAAAAAAAACAAAGATTCCGACGAACGGATAACCTCCTCCTTTTTTGGAAGTCGGTTAAAAAGTCAAAAATGTTTTTAAGTACTTATTAAAACAAAAAAAACACAATCAGGTTATGTAGGAAGTGATTCCTTGGCGCTCACGTGAATTCTTGAATGTTTTTCCCAGTTTTTTCTCCACTTTGTGGTTTACATTTTTTAAGGGACCATAATGGTTATGATCTTTATAAAAAAATTATAACTTAGCCGTTAAAATTGTATTCCTATTTTTCGGATCAAATGTAACCGTTATTTTATGATTTTTATTTTTTCGATCAAGAATAATAATTATTTTTGGCTTTTATTTTTCCATAAATTTTTTATCGTTATTTTTATTTTTTTTGTATGTTTATATATATTTTCGAGCAATTTTTGATCCTTATTTTTTCTTTTAAATTTCTTAGAACAAAATAAATTTTTATTTTAAAATTTTTAATTTTCCACTGGCCAAATGCTTATTTAATTTCACTAAAACAAAAAAGAATTAATTTACAGTGGGTTATCTGGTTATGTGATTATATTTTTTATTCAGTCTGCAAATAAAATTGGAAAATAAAATTCTTTAAACAGGCAACCCAATAAACAGCATGATGTGAGTACGTACTTTATGTTATTTTGGTTTTGGTGTCGCTAATGAAATTGGGTAACAATTGAAATTAAATTCATCTTTTAAGAGATTTTCTAGTACATATAAAAATTTTTTTTAAACAGTTTGAAGCAGCAAAAGCAAACTACTTTTTCAAGCAACAGAAATAATGAAAAATATTTCTTGTGATTTTTCTTGAGAGCTGTAAACAGCCCTTACACAAATAAGTTTTAAGCAAAATGCGCAACCGACTTAAAATATAATCACTACCTATGTGAAATGGCTATATGTTCACAAAAAAGTCCCAAACTGAAACAAAAATATTGAGAGCAGTTTGAACGGGAAAGAAATGAGAACAAAAGGTTCGAGAGCGTTTCCGTAAAAAAAAAAATCGGACTTTCGGAAACGTTTTCAAGTAGGATCAAATAAGAACAAAACTCTGTGAAATATTCTGCTAGAGAACAAAACGAGAACAAAAGCTTTGAGCACTTAAAAGTAAGAAAGAGAGGGGCGTCTGCCTCTTGGGATGAAAAATCGTTTCAGTGAGCTGAAATCTACAAAAAAGGACTCTGATGAGGAGATGAGGTGATCTCCGAAATAGCATCGAAATAGTATCGACAGGAGAGCGATTTTTTTTTTACTTAGAATTATAATAGGGTTGCCACCTGTCTAAAACACTATCTTTGTCTTTATATTAATCTTTGTTTTTGCCTTTATGTTTATTATTTTCTTCGTCTACCTATTCTCCTTCAAGTTTGCCCTTATATAAGTAAAGTGTAAGTAAGGTGTTTAAATTTACCTTGATCCAAATTTTAGCCTATATCTTCACGCATCATTGGTTTTGATTTTATTTTTATCTTTGCCTTTATCCTTTTCTTCATCTATGTATGTACTCACCTTCTGTTTTTTTCTTTAACCTTTTATTAGCACGTTTTTGTTAAATTAGTACGATTTGCATACATTTAAGGAGCACTTATTTCCGTCCCATGCGTTTCCGTGTGCAATTTCCTTTGAATTTGCCAATTTTCTCCTAACAAACCCACCGCCACTAAAGAAGTTTTACTTTAAAAAGGAGGCAACTCTCTTAAAACACTTCAAAAATTGTGTTTCTTAACACTCTTCACATTCTAATATGTCCTTTAACTAGTCTAGGTATATACATTTTAATAAAAAATTTGACTTTTCAAACAGGTGGCAACCCTCTTTTAAACGTTATAAACCTAAAACCTTCTTATATATTTTTTATTTGACATCCATAGCGATACATGCTTCCATTTCCTAATTCCCCAAATTATATTTCAATGCGAATTTTCAAACAGGTGGCAACCCTCCTTAATGCAGTTTCGAAAACCCCTGTCAATGAGACCCTCATGATGAAATAATTCATTTAACTTAATTTTAATTTGACAGCTCACATTTGAAACTCGAATGAACGGTGCTTATCTGATGGCATTCAAATTATATATTTACTAGCCGGCCACTTCTACCGCTTAGACTTTGTTGCTTTTTCCATTTTTCCTAATAAAATAATCATGGTACAAAGCTCATTAAAAATATTAAAAAATTAAATGTTAATAAGCCATAATAACATTGACGAGAACTACGATTGTTAATTGAAAGCCATCGAAAAGCTGGATTATTCCAACTTCCGGATCGTTTTTGATTAGGGTGAACTATCTGTCCATTTATGGAACACTTTTTCATTTTCTGTGCAAGCAAAGTTCGTGTCTTAAGTCTTTCGTTTACTTAATTTGCACAATTATCTTTCAGTTCTTTTTGTTTAATTTTAATATTCCAACATTTCAAGCAAATGGAACGCTATGAGAAAAATTTTATTTTCGCTTCCATTCTTCGCGAAAAGTTCAGAGAAAATTTGTTCCCGTTTCGTTCTTTGTGAGAAAAATTCGGAAACTTTAGTTGCTTGTTCTCAGCATTACTGTTAATGGGGTTTCAGCATTTGTTAAAAGCAAATGTGTCATTTCGCACACACTTGTACATACGTTCAAATTCATAACTACATAAATCACGTTGCCTAAGTTATGCAGCATTTACTACTCGTTGGCAGTTACTTAGTTCAGCGTCTTAGTTATGTTTTATTAAATAATAATTTATTTTTATTAGTGTTCAAGTGTCAATTGCAAATGCCAATAATGGAGCAGCGATTATATGTAGGCAAGAAAGACGCTTAACCGAAAGAAATACAGCAATAATAATGCCACACATATGTATGTATGTATGTATATGTACCTAGACATAAGTAGATATGCATATGTACGAGTATGTATGTAAACAAATATCTACTAAAAGATGTCGGGCTGCACATAAGTCAAAATATACAGAAAGTAGCAAAATGTGTGAAGGCTCAGAATTTTGCGGAAGAATATACATATATGTTTTTTAAGGTATTATTTGCCATGTATTAACTTAACAACTAATCGCTACTTCTATCTAAGTAAATAATAATAACGAAAGAACAAGAATAATTCTGCGAATAACCGAATAGCAACCATACACAATTCTTTCTAACTTACATATGTATATATTTTTTTTTTTTTTTTCGTCCAGCAAATACATACATACATATTCCCATGACACTGATCAGTTTCATTATCATTGCCATTACCATTGTCATTGGCGCTGACGTTGCCACAGCCAATATCACGTTCTGGTTAATTTTTGTTTACACTTGAAATTGACATACAATTTTTATTCAATTTCAGGGAATGCAGAATGATCTTTTATATACTCCAGCTTTTTCGGATTGTTCCTAACACAGTCAATAAGAAAGTGATACACATACATATGTACATACATACGCGTACATATACATACTTATTTAACGCCTGGCGAATTATTCAAATGTGCTTTTTATATCTCTTCTGAATTTAATTTATATACAAATAGGATTATATTCGGTTGTTTTTGCAATTACAAATCCATCTGCATACGTATGTACATAGGTATCTACATACAATGTAAATAGGCACGTTCTCATTGTCAAAACAAATAAATCCATACTGTACATCTTATTTTGCGATTACTGCGATGTACACAAAATAAATACATTTCATTCGGTTTAATCAGTTGGTATACCTTAATGTAAGAAAAAAGTTAACTTCGCGTCGGTCAATTTTACACCCACAAAAAATCAACATATCCATTCGCGCAGCCTAGGACCTATAATAGTAAAACATCGTTTTTAGTGTTTCTCTTTGACGTCAAGTTTTTTAAAAAGGACTTTGGAATTTTAAATTAATTACAAAATTAAAAAAAAAATCAGTGCAATATATAATACTAATACGGTTATAAAAAAAAAATAAAAATAAATTCCGTAGAATTAAACTAAATAAAATTTTTCGGTCGATAATGATGAAGAGATATTGAAAATGTCCTTTCAAAATTTTCCTTCAACATTTGCTGTATATATTAAAAAAATATATATATATATAACCATATACATATACTAACAAATACCCGGCTGCTCCTTGAAAGTATTTTGGTGTTGTTACTCCCTCTCAATACATACATTTTTTTTTCAAATTTTCCTTCAGCTTTTTATGGAAGGAAAAAAACATGACATGCGGCAAGGTAAATATTTAATCAGCGACATAGAAATATTTAGAACAAAGAAAAAACAAAGAGAGAATTAAATAGATTCGTTTACGAACCAAGTAGGCCAACAAATACGATTTTTGGAAATATCTCGACTTAGCCCCCATCACGTCAGATTCGAGGTCATTTGAAGGTCGAGTTTAGACTCGTTGAATCCGAATGCGGGGTCCGTTAACCTCCATAATTTCAGTCTCGAGGTCATCAGAGGGTCAAACAGGACAAAAAATGTATTCCATTAAAATAATTTTTTTTTTGTATTTTTGTCGCTGAATCCGAATACGGGGGTCCCTTGATTCTTCAAGGCCATCTAGAGGTCATGCCAAGGTCTGAATTTTCAGGTTTCTTGAATGAAAAACCTTCAAATGACCTCGAACCTGACGTGATGGAGTCTAAAAGCATAGACAGACGGCAACGTTGATCCGGATTAACGCCGCAATTGATCTGATCAAAATTGTGCCTTGACAGACGGCAGTAATGCGGATTAACGAGCCGCGACGTCGTAGGTTCGAATCCCACGGCCAGTAGAATATTCATTTAATTTTTTTTATTGATTCAATTATAACTTCTACATTTTTTTAAGTTGTTTTTAGTTAATTCTTTTTGACTTTTTTAGTAAAATTAAACTCTTAAAAATTTAAATTAACTAATAATAATATAAAAAATCTGAAATAAAATAAAACAAACGAAAATAAAATAAAAAAACAATTATATATATATAAATCAAATCAAATTTAGAAAAATAAAAGAAATAATAAAAACAAAATTTGTGTTGCAATCGCTCCAACCGAGGATCGAACCTGGGACCTACAGGCTTGTAGTACGCAGCTCTCACCACCGCGGCTACCGCGGATGAGGCAATCGGTTGCTTTATTTGCTCAGTTAGCATAGAACACAAAGAAACTGCAAAACTAGCATAGACATCCACCCTGTCGTCGATAATGCAGTCACCGAAATAAGTTCGTATTCATTTTAAATTGGATTCCTATTTGAATTAGTATTAGTGACTGCATTACTCTCTGAGTTTTGGTCAGTGTTGTCATCGAAAATTCCCTTGATCCGACTTAAGTTTGGGAATTAACTCTAGGACTTAATACGGCTCAACTGCAGTTAATGACCGAGATAATTCTGAATTAACGAGTTGATCCAGATCAACGCTGACATCTGTTTATGCTTTAACAGACCTCGAATTCGTAGAATAACTTAGGGATATAGAGATTTGGATCAATAAATATGCAGAAACTTCTTTTTGTTAGCCTGTTTTGAAAATAACAGTTTCTGCATCCCAAACCGAATCATAAAATAGGATCAATTATTAAACTACATGTTCTCTAAAAATTTTAAAGTCTTGGTTTCAAAAATAGGGGAGATTTCCACTTTTTAAAAAGGCCTATTAGCAGTTTTTGATTTACTTTTTATAATGTTCTTTGCTTCTTCTGTAAAATAGAAAATTTGCTGGTTACGGTCTTCGTGAATTAAGGTAACGATGTGTACCTAATTTGCAATTCTAAAATACATATTTTCTTTAGAATTTTTAACAAGAACTTTTCCATCACATGCTTTCAAATCATTTAAGCATTTGGGCTAGATCCTAGAAATGTAAACGATGAAATCTTTAGACTCTATTCATTTTTTTATTGAACCTCAAAATAACTCCAACATTTATAACTGACTTCTATACTTGATGCGCCAACACACCCGAATAAGACCTGATGTTTGTGCAAAAATCTCAAGAAGTTGTGTATTTAGCTGATAACTAAAAGCGTTGATAAATGGGTGTTTTTAAATAGACTTCGTATATAGAAATATTTTATTATGCAAAAAGTTGCTTAGAACTCAAGTCAAGTAAGCACATCAGTGATGGCACGCTGAGAGCTAATTACGAGTAGAACAAAAACTTTCAGTTAAAAATATGTGTGCACAAACATATGTATGTGCNTTACATTTTTGTCTGCTGGTTTTGTAAATGTTGTTGAATTGCCTTCAAATCGTTATGACATAGGAAGCAAAGATGTACCAATAAAAATATACAACAACCGTATGAATGTCGTTAGAACTTGGAAAGATAGCGACAGCTGAAATAAAAAGTGTTACTCCATGTTACAGTTTTGCTCGTCACTGTATGTACATACATAATATAGTAAATAAATTACTTTAGTAAAAATAAATTACCGAAATAGGTCGGATAATAAAATGTAACCCTTATACTTTTATGCGCTAATACGTATGGGTTGGTGAGTATAAACATTTTTCGTTATAGCTATCACGTATGCACCTATGTATGTATGTATTTTCAAATGTATACTTAAAAACATAATTGTATGTTTTAATAATATACTTTAAGCCAAAATAAGTAAACATTTGTAAATTTATTTCATATCTACTTATTGTCAAGAGTCCAACGTAGTACTTCGGGAATAAAACTCATTTTGCGTGTAAGTACATGCGTACATATGTATATAGATATGCAAGACTGTATACATGTATTCTTCTAACTCATAAAGCTGAGTAGACGGGCAATTAACTATTTAAGGTCAAGAGAATCAACGATTAGGGAATTACTCCGAGGCTCCGGAGCATTTGTTCACTTTCTTCTTTGGCACTGAATAGCAAACAATTACTTGAACATACGAATATAATGTACTAAAGTTGTAATTTCGGATGTATGTACTTAGGTCAACAATTTAAAACAAAAAAAAATAATAAATTTGGGTCTCAACATCATCTTTATTTTTGACGCATATTTATTTATACGTGCGTATAAACAAATTAATTTCAATATAACGTCTTCATGGCCTAGAATTTGTCTTGTGCTGCGTTTCAATTTTTATTTAATTCTCACTTAAATTTTTATGTAAGTGAAGAGCACAGGCCACTTAAATCAAAATGAAAAAAAAATAAAATTGATTGGTGAAACCAAAAATTCAAAAATTAAAATCATCTGCACTTAAATAAATCTGGTGAAATGCAGCCTTAATGAGCCAAATATATTTAGTTACAATTGTGGTGAATAGACAATTAAAAAGTTTCGATAACCTATAACAGATTTTGTAAAAAGGGTTTAATTTTGTGACATCAAATGAAAATTGTGGGTATATACATGCCGTGGATACACCAAATTCTTTGTAAACTTTTCTGTGAACACTTGCGTCAGTGTTCTAAAAGCCATGTAAAGTTAGCAGGGCCCCTGCAAAACGAAAAACAAATAACATAAAAATCACTTAGATGGCAGTTACCTACCTCTGGCAGTGCTAGTATGCAAGAAGCCAACTTAAAAGAAGATTTATCCAGACTAAGTATCGGCTAAAGGACACTTTCAGACCACACTCAGAGGAAGTACATATTCCAAGATTTCGTCCCATCTTCAATCAAGTGAGCAGTGGCAGTTGTTTCGAAGAAATATCGCCTATAAAGCCAAAACCTTTCACCAAAAAAGAGTTTAATGATTTTATAAGGGAACTAGAATTATTTAAAAATATATCTTCAGAACTATTCGCGTCTCGATTAAAAGAAAAAAAAACTTATTGACGTCAAGTACAAAAAAAGAGACGTCCTATGGTACAAAATTGTTTTATGTTCAGAAGTGCGAGGCCTTATTTTTGAAATGGCAGAATATCGTTGAACAATTTCTGGTCTCAAAAGATTAAAATATATTGCACCTTGTGCATAAAGCTGGGCCTTTGAAACAATTTCTTAAGACACTCGACAAAAATGCGTGATGCGTTTCTTATATAATGAAAAAATTTCGATGGCCCTTAAGTAAAAATATTAATTTGGAATGCGCGCGAATTCATAAAATGTACCGTAGTACAAAAATAAGGAAAAGTCGGAATTTTAATGCTACCACCCCAAGGATCGTGTTATACCGGAAAAAATGTACCCATATTTTTTATATTGAGTTAAAAAAAAAAACATTTCGAGATTGCTAAAAGAGCTCAAAGTAACATTAAAATTCAGGCTATATATATAATTTTTTTTTGATCACCCCAATGTATAGTTTGTTTTTGTATTTCTCAAAATTGCCCTTATAAAGGTAGACGTTGATATTGTCCGATATTTTTTTTCTAATTAGTGCGATGAAAGCTGGACGTGGTTATTGAAATTCTAAATATACATCTTAAATGTGCATCCCAACCAATGTTTTGTCACAGTTTTATCTCAGTAAGTGCAGGCCTTTTTGTATGTTTAATCGAATATATATTTAAAATTTCGAGCTTTTTTATTAGATTTATTAGAAACACTTTGAGTAGGCAGGTGTATAGCCCACTCACTTTTTGTTGAAGAGTGTCACTAACCTTCGAGCGAAAGAAGCTTTCAAATTTAGCAATAAAGGCCCAAAAACGGCAACACTGATATTTTTATGAGCATACACACAAACTTACATATGTATTGGAGTATGTACTAATTATTGCTTATTATGCAATAATACGCCTTGCGAAGCATTTGTTCACCTATATACCAACAAATTTTAATGCTTTTAGTATGCCACCTTTTCGTCAGCTTTTTCCAATTTATCTTTACAACTTGTATTGTATCAGCTGTCAGCATAAATGAGATGCCGCATAAAACCGCTAAAACATTGTAAACAAACTTGACCTGTCAATTGGAACAGTGCATATGTGTGTAGGTGTTTAAAGAAATGTTTTGTTTTTAACTCTTATATGGATCAGTGCGTGTCTATACTGGCACCAATATGGTTTGCAGTACTTCGCCGCTCTCGTCAATCCTTGCGATCAACCTTAAATATGTGCTCCCAGATCACTGTACATACTCCTGTTTTTCAGGCCAAGCAAAGGTAGCTGCCGTTAAGCTGCTGAATTGCGGGACGTCGCACAGTGGTCCAATTTGCTTTAGTAGCATAATTCAATTACTATAAAAATTCCAAATAGTTTTTTTTTTAATCAACAATTGAAAATTGTTGCAGTGTTTTGGAAATTCTTATTTTTCTTTGAAAGCAAGTGTCCGACTGCAAAAATTTTCAATTGTTGATTAAAAAAAACTATTTGGAATTTTGCAACAAAAATTACACAGTGTACTGATCGACTACAAAACTCGGCGCTGCCTGAATATCATTAAAAAATATTAGTGCTGGTAAATTCGGTGCCCACTTGAGGAAGCCTTACCCAGCTATAACTTCTACCAAATGTAAATTATTGTTTTCCACAAAATTTTTTCATTACAAAAACCGCCTCAAGTGCAATAAAATTGTTGAATATAACTGTGAACTTTTTAATCTGAATTTTAGACAATTTCTAATAAAACAAGTCCAAGTTTTAAACAGTTAAAAACCGCGTTGATTTTTATTAATGTTGTTTTTTTTTTTTTGGTGACCGCTTTTGCGGTTTTTCACATAACAAGTGCAATTTATAAATCAACACTGATTTTCCAGTGATAGTCCACTGACCAAAAAAAGTGCATCCTGTTCGATAACTCTCAAAAGTTCATTAGCTTTCTTCATTTGAACTTTTTGCAGAAAAGGTCGGCTTACCAAACTTAGAACACACAATTTGTCATAAGTGTATTTGAAATTCGAGCCAATCTTCATTTGTAGTAAGAAACCGCTATCTCTTTCGGAAAACTTTTGTCAACTTTTGGTCCAATTTCTGAATCAAGCTTTGCACATATTTATGATTTCAGTTTATCAAATTTAATTATATCATTAAGCTATTGGGCCTTAAAAGTACTCAATCTTTGTTGCATGCCCGGTTTAATTTTTCACTTTTTGCTTACTATGAATTTTGGATATAGCTATGCTTATATGTAGCCATATATATATATATATATATATTTTTTCGAACAAAGTTGTATTTACGCTTAAGTAGACTATATTTTTGCATATTAAATCAAAATTTTATTGAAAAATGACAAACAAAAAATTTTTATGAAAGTACCCTAGCTTTGCAAATTTGGGACACTGTGCGTCGGCAAGGTAGGTGGGCGGCTGCTCTGATTATAGTCTGCTAAAAGCTACTAACAACTATATTGCCTTATGTAAGTCAATTTATTTAAGTATTTTTGATCAAAATTCTTCAAAATCTGTACTTGATATTCCACATACACATTACTCTTATGTCACGCGTCAAAAATTAGTAAGAAAACAAACAAATCGCGTTACCTGACGCCGATTTTAAATAAAAACATTATAAATCGTTATTGTCAATCATAGATGTCAAAGCGGTGATGAGTCAATAACAGGTACTCGTACTAATAAATAAGCAAATGTAAACAAAAATAACGAAATGCATTTGAATGTTTTGTTTCACGTACACACAATTTCAAATGGCTTTATGAACGAAATGTAGTGGGTTTACTATTGTTGAGGCAACTATTGGCACGTATTGGACAATAAAAAAGTACGTTAGTCGAACATTTTTAAGTCCTATTGAACTATCCAGTCTCTCTGTTTTCCTAAAAAAAATAAAAATAAATAAATAAAAGATTAGAAGAAAAATAATTAACATCGCACGTGCTGAAAAACCTAAACGATACATAGTTGAGTATTTTCATGTATAGAAAAATTACTAACACATATTCAAAATAAAATCGATTACTAGATACCCCCATCTGCGTATTAAGAAAATCGCCCAACAAACCAATAGCAAGTGGGTATTATAAATAGTAAGAGTACACATGTCAATACACTCTTAATGGCATAATGAATTGGGCAAACACCCGCAATACTGTTTCCTCGCTATCACACACACACACACACACACACACACACACACACACACACACACACACACACACACACTTTGAGTGTGCTTTTGTTAAAATAATTCATTTACACTTACTCAATGGTTGAATTCTTCTTAAGTTTCTAGTATCATTTTACGAACTACACGCTTATACATGCTAAATACATATACATATCGTCGTTTGAAGTATAAAACCGCGTATGTGAAGTTACATAAATTATTTAGTAGAGAGTAATAACACTCTTATTTCAAAATGGTTCTCCCTTTTAAAAAGCAATCGCGTTTAAATTTTTGTCAAAAAATGTCTGTTACGCGGTTTTTTACTTTAAGACGCTTGCTATTAACAATAAGAATTCTAACAAATTGGATTTTCAGCCCATCCTAATGTGCATACATACATTCGTAATATATTTATATAAGTACAGATGTATGTATGCAGTACAACTATTATATACTTCTGTAAACAATTTGTTTTCATTACGAAAAGTCCAAACTTATTTACAACACGCTTTCAGCAATTATTGTAACTAAGTAAGTATTCCAATTCACTTTTCTTCACCTACTGTCACTGACCGAAACATATTTGGTTGTGTTAATTTAACTGTTTTGATATAAATATGTACTTGCGTACACACATATATATGTATATCTAACTACTTTTCTGTTTATCTTAAACTTACTAATTTTTTAGTTGACGCCAGCTTTGTTGTTAGTTAGGCGATTTATTCATAAAACTATTTGCGGGAATATCTCATAAACCGACTGCAGGAAAATACCTTCTCTTCTAATCGAATTTAAAACATTCATCGCTTATGAATCCCTACAAGCAATGCTGTGATTCATTTTCTAGTTTATCGTTATCTATGTTTTCGACCTAGTCGTATACGCAACATTTACACATGTGTGTACATATGTATGTATCTAACGATTTATTTGTTTTTGCATAACATCTTTTGTTTGCCGTACCTACCATACATTGGTAAAACTAAACATAAAAGGAAACATGCCCAATAAATTTATGTAAATACATACATATTTATGTATTAGCTGACAGACAACTGGAAGTTTTTTTAAGTCTTCTTTCTAGCTATAATAATAATATTTTGGCGATCACACTTTTGCCAAATATATAGCCAAATTAGCTATAGACAAAAAAAATAACATTAAAGTAATGGCAAGTGTCCTCGAAAATTTTACTAATCCACGTATTTTTGAAAATGAGAATGTACATCTATATGCTCACTAGGATGCATCACTCTCCATACAAAAAAAAAAATCGGTAATGTTTCTCAATCGAAATCATAAAATCTATAAACTTTTGAAACCTCTGCCAAAAAACTATTTCAAAAAAATATTTAGATTTAAGTGAGCTAGACCAATTTGAGAACGCCTCTAATCTAGTTAAAAAAAAATATATATATATATTTTCCAACTATCACCTCGGATGATTTAAGCTTAGAAAACCAAAACAGTTTAAAAATTTGGCAACTGTTTGGTAAGTGGCCCAACTATTTCGGGGTATTGCGCCAAATTTAAGTACACTCTGAACATCGGTAACTAGTTCGCCATTGTGGTTCCTGCAGGAGTACGCCCTGGTCTTGAAACCTTCCGTAAGTCACCTAACTCTCTGGTAAAATTTTCGGGCATTCTTCCTGTCGGCCAGCATTTCAAGCTCTTCGCACTCACGTATTTCGGAAAATTAACCATTTTGAGAATAATTTCCTTAATTTCCAAAGGCACCAACCAACAATTATTTTTATTTATTCAAAGAGTATCAAAAACAGGTAGGGCTTTTTAAAAAGTGGCATTCAGCTCCGTTATTTTTGGTACTAACAGTTTTAAATTTATACCGAAGGTATATTTTAATACATCCTTACAAATTCTGTGAAAAACGCAGTCTCGAAAAAAAACTGTTTATTAGGGCCTTTATGAATTAAGGTATCGATAAGCTTCTAAATTTGAATACCACTTTTGCATACTGAAATAATTTAAAAACCTTCATTCCTCTTTTTCCAGTTCGAACATGTTTCTCATTCAGAATTATGGAGTTTTGCCACTCTACTCGTCATCTCGCTATCTTTGTACGCCCTCTGGGACTACATTAAAACGGTGCTGCTCTCACTGAAACTATCCGGCCCGGTAGCATTGCCTATACTGGGAAATTGTTTGATCATAAAGGAGAAAGACAGTAAGTCACATCCGCGGTAAATTCCGTTTCGCACCTTCAGGTGGCTGATTAATCGGTACCCGGTTTACCGAAAAAATATATATATGAAACCGGGTGCCGGCATGTGGTAAAGATCCACATAAACTTTGAGCAGACAATCCGGCTGTCGATCAACTGAAAACCGGAGCGTGTGAAACGGCAGTAAAACTCTCTGAAATTAATTATGCTTAATTTTTAATCACAATCGTTATACTTTGCAGTGCTTGCTAAGCGCGTGGCAACAGCTTTTGGACTCTATGGACCTTTAATACGCATTTGGGTGCTACTCTTTCCCTTCTTCGTTGTCCTCCAACCAGATGACTTACAGGTCATACTCTCATCGAAGAAGCATACGGAAAAGGTGTTCATCTACAAATTGATGCACAACTTCCTGGGCAACGGTTTAATAACTAGTAGTGGCGAAAAGTGGAATGCGCATCGAAAGTTTATACAACCTTTATTTCATCTAACGATTTTGGAGCGCTTCATCGGCACATTCGCAGATGCCTCGCAAGCGCTCTTTGAAAATCTGCATGCATCGGCCAGTGAAGAGATTAATATCGCCAAATTTATTAATAATTGTGTTATGGATATTTTAAATGGTATACCTTTTGAAACAAATTTGAGTTTAATATAATTTTGATTTAACCTTATTTTTCTTTGTACAGAGGCTGTTTTGGGCGTACCAGTAAAACGAAAGGGCGAACGAGTGGATATGGAACAGTCGCCGTTCAGACAGTAAGTGAAAAAGTGCGATGACTTTTAGTTGTTACGCTACTAATTGTAACATTTTCTCCCCATTTTATAGGGGCAAAGTTGTTGTCAGTGAACGCTTCGTGCAGCCGTGGCTACTATTTGAGAGCGTCTATAAGTTTACCAAAATCGCCTCAGAGGAGCTAGATCAAAAGAAACGCCTCGATGAATTTACGCGCAAAATGATCAAATATCGCCGGGAACTAAGCGCCAATGGCAATGGCAACGGGCGCAAGTGTCTGCTAGATTATATGATTGAAATCTCCGACAACAATGCCGACTTCACCGAGAATGATATTGTCGACGAAGCCTGCACCTTTATGTTGGCCGGACAAGATTCAGTTGGTGCTGCTGTGGCTTTTACGCTTTTCTTGCTGGCGCAAAACCCAGAATGTCAGGAAAAATGTATTGCCGAAATCAATGATATATTCATGGGCGATCAACGGCCGCCCAATATGAATGACTTACGCGACATGCGCTATCTGGAGATGTGCATCAAAGAAGCTTTGCGCTTGTGTCCCAGTGTGCCGTTGATGGCGCGCAAATTGGGCGAAGAAGTACGCCTGGGCAAGTATACATTGCCTGCGGGCAGCAATATTTTCATTTGTCCCTACGCCACCCACCGGCTGCCACACATTTATCCTGATCCTGAGAAATTCGAGCCGGAGCGTTTCTCGCCGCAGCGCAATGAAGCACGTCATCCCTATGCCTATATACCATTCAGTGCCGGACCGCGTTACTGCATTGGCAATCGTTTTGCTATTATGGAAATGAAAACAGTCATTTCGCGCATATTAAGAAGTTATCAGCTGTTACCGGTACCGGGCAAGACCTCATTCAAGGCAACATTCCGCATTACATTGCGCGCTTCTGGCGGTTTGTGGGTGCGGCTAAAAGCACGCGAACATCCACTGGAGGATTATGTGCAGTAGTTGTCTAGGGTATAAGCGGAAGTTCTGTATGCGGGTGTAAATTATAGGTAAAATAAATATGTAGCAGTAGTTTTTGTTGTAGAAAGAAATACATAAAAAAGTAGATTGAGTTACAAACTATGTCTTAGTCTTTAGGTATGTACTAAATGTATTTTTGAGCTTGACGAAGCTAGTATAGGCATACTTCGCTAGTTTAGAGTGAAAAGTTGCTAAGTCCACTTTTAATGAAAACTCATATTTTGCTACAGGGAGCTAGAGAAATTTAAAATGCATTGTTTTTAAAAAGATAAAAGTACTTGTTTTATTTATTCTCCTTTATATTCAATGAAAGGAAAGTTTGCTAAGTCCAAAAGAGGCACAGAAAATCCGATAAGACCAAAATAGTACGAAATCTTTTAATGAACATCGAATCAATCTGATTTGTAAGGATGTGTATTCAAAATGTTGTATTCAAAGTTTAGATAAATGCTTGAACAAAATAACTATAAAAAGTTTTTTTTTGTCTCCTGTAAAATTTTTAAAATGGGACTTGTCAACTTTTCACTCTAAGCTAGCGACTCGTTTCCTTTATTATATACGAGGGTTGCTATTTATATTTCTGGCCTTAAGCACCTCTTCTGTTGTCAGATTCGATCTGACGTTTCCATTAAAAAGTTTGACAGATCTTACCAGGAACACTCTAAGAACGTTTCGATGCGTGAGCTACATATATATTAGTGTTGTTTACAGTTGCTTTCAGAATTCATGAAATTCAAGGGTGCGTTCATAAGATGAAGCTGTTGCCTAACCGTTGGCTATTTGTCTTACAATTGCACATTTAAGTAGTTCCCCTCAGCTCAACAGTTGTCAACTTTCCGCCATTTTTTCCAGCGGAAAATTTGTACGCTACCTGAAGTCAACGTGTTGGGCTTAGCCTAAGCAGCTGATCGTAAAGACTCACGCCGCACAGTGCAAAAATCGAAAAATTCGTTGTCTGCAATGTCAACAAGGTTGGTATTTTTGTAAAGGTTATTTATCCACTAAAAAGGATCAAACAAATATTTCCCTATAAAATAAATTGTATGCCGCCAGGAAGCCACTAAAATGGACAAATTGTATACTAAAAATTTGTAGAAGCGTAAGCTCTTCATGGAAAAAAATGTCAAAAATACACTCTTTGAAATAAAATGTTGGTTTGACGTCTTTTATTTCCATATAGATAGTAGAAAACTACAGGAATAAAAATTTTGGAATAAAATTAAACACAGGGCGTCCCTGCGGTATTCCAGTAAAACAATTTTTTTTAATACAAATTTCACAAAATGGTAAACTTTAATGGAACGGATACAATATATATGTCAAAATATGTTATTTTTTATTATTTTATTAAATAATACGGGTTTTTAGCTTTCGAAAAAAAGAAAAACCTGCTAATTTTTTGCACTTTTTGAAGTAATGCGTTTTTTGTTAATGCATAAGATCATTTTTTTATATTTTTTAGTGCCATTAGACGTTCGTTCTATTTTCTAAAATTAAGTGTCAGATTAAAAAGCTTGACCTCTAAGCTATAGCGGATTATTTTTTTTAAAGAGTTGCCACCTGATAAAAAAATTTAATTCGAATTTTTTAGTAAGATACATGAATTATTTAGAGATCGGTATCAATCGAAATATGTATGAAAAGGGTTTATTTCTTAACTACATGTAGAGGGTTGCCACTTGTTAAAAAAATCAAATTCCATTTAAATTAAAAGAATTAGGTAATTGAAATAGATTGAAATAGACTCACCATATGGGAATCAGACGAAAGAGATTTAAGAAGGTTTTAGCTTTCCAATATTACCTGTTTGTAAAGTCAAATTTAGTTAAACTTTAATAATAATTGTGTCAAACCAAAGGTTTACGACATTATATTTGTTATTTGATTACAAATACATACACAGTGCTTTGTTCTGATTACATTCCTTTTAAATTACTGGACTCTTAAATTAACTCAGGAATGTTTTTACTATTCACTTATTTCTTGCTAAATATGTATGTCCAATTTTTTCTTTTGTCTGATAGCCATATTGATATAGCTATTTCCGTTACCTTATTCCCTTAATTGAAGTCAATTTGCTTTTACGAGTCGGCAGCCCTTTCCAAAAAATAAAACTTCACTGCACATCTACAGACCAAGCCCTGTCATTTGACACTTCACTTTTGACAATAGAACGAACTATACATGTGTACATATTATGTACATACTAGGAATGTTAATTCCGGGATCCCGGCCCTTTTTAGGTCCCGAAAATCCCGGGATTATTTGCCAAGAATCCCGGGATTTTCGGGATTTGTAATTTGCACTGTTGGAAATAATAGAAACTCCTTTTTCTGCACCATTATTGGCTATATTTATTTTTTTTTTATTTAATAATTAATATTTTTTCATAAATGTTTAGCTCATTATACATACAACACCGTGCGATAGTAAATTGTACACACAAAAATCAACATATTGGTGAAAACATGGACCCAATATTGTGAAACTGCGTTTTTAGTTTTTCACCCTGACGTAAGTAATTCCAAAATTATTTAAAAAATTAAAGAAGAAAATTCTGTAGAATTTAATCACTGGTAAGTATTGAAAATTTCCTTTTAAGATTTTTTCCTTGAAATTTCGCAATATTTTTTTAGAACAAATTATATTTCTTACAGCAACACCTTCGGAAAGGCACGCCGAGCCTTTCTACATGCTTATCCATTACAAATGCGTTTCTTACCGGAAGAATCTACTTGACTGTGTATTGCCTTGCAAATTTATCTGCCATGGTCCCTATGACCAAGGGCCCAAGTGAGGTGAAGTCTATTCTACTTATCCATCTCCTGTAGAGATAGCGCAAACTTTGAGTGAAAGAGCTCAGAGCAGCATGGCTGTCATTAAAAATTAAGACGTATCTTCCCATTATTTCGGTTCCAAGCTTCTCATCAGCCTCCACCATAGCTGAAACTACAGCTTCGAGTTCGTTGAATCTGGTAACATAAAAGAGATTTTCAGTGCGGGATTTAGAAAGAAATCGTCTCCTCTCACCGTCAATACTATCAGGTAAAGTGTTTAAGGATGAAACGATACGTGTAAATAAATACAAGTACATACTCGAAACTTTTCGTTCTATACCAAGTAATTTTGGTATCGATACTTTTGAATCATTTACTGAGTAGATATTGAAAAAAATACTCATATCGAAAGCCGATACCAAGGCGAACTTTCTTTCGGAATTTTTTCTCCACTAATATTAATTGTCCAATGCTTTATGGCTGTTTAAACGAGAGCGACCTTCAAATATTGAAGATGTTAATTTTTTTCCTGAAACCAGTATTCAAAGAGCTTTTTAACCGATATTTTTGCTGTTCTTGCATCGCGGAATCTATTTCCATGGTCGCTTAAACCAAAAAAAAATCTTTGCTCTGTACTGTATGAAACGTACTGTATGAAGCGCTGAAGCCCACCTTCACCGAACTGATTGGGCCTTATGAATGCGACTTTGGACCTGGTAAATCCATCATAGACCAGTTATACAAAATACACAAAATATTGGAAAATACCCGCGAGAATAGCATCGACACACATCATTTAAAAGAGCGTTCAATATCCGACGACGTCGACATCTTTGGTAAAAAACCAGCCCTACGTATATAAACATAATGTCAGCCTCTTCCCAACAACTGATACCTTGCACTGAGTATGCAATTGAGAAGTGAAAGGATCACTAGGATTCAGGCAGAAGGAGGTTAATATGTCATGTGCAGAGTTAATAAAGGCTGCCCTCAAGGCGCCGTGTTGCCCTTTTCTCTGATGGTTGGTAATTGATTCCATTATTGTCACTCTAAATGACACTTGTATCTATGCCCAGACCTATGCAGATGAGGTGAGGTAGGCACCCTCAGTAGACTCTCAATCAATCAGTCGAAAATTGCTGTACGGGAGCTTGCTCTACCACACCTGGCTCTGCTCTTGATGCTCTGCTAAACTTACCATGACACGAGTGTCTTTTCAATACCCCAGGATTATGCGCCATCATTGCCTTTGCTGAGGAGATTCTACCAGATGGAGTTCTCTGACGCTGAATGCTGGCTTAGTTTCAGCACTGGGCCCGGGATCACATATTGTCGATTCTTTACTGGAGGCTCCAAAACTGAAATTGGACCATAATCTATCTGTCTATATCGAAGGTAATGGGGATGTACTTCACTATTTTCTTGGGGAATATGCCTCGGAATTTCAAGCCAAGGTATTTGCAGCAGAAGTTTACGTGTTTGTAGTGACAGTAACGCTCCACTTAGGGCATTGGACACATCCAGACTGGTCCGGCAATGCAGGCCTCGCCTAAATTATGTAGGCAAACGTAACTAACCGTTAGAAGCTGGGTGAATATCACGCTCAGCAAAGACTGACAGGCTTCGAGAGAATGCAGATGGGCGAAACTTATGTTGCCTTCATTGTTGGGGATGTGAGTTAGGTTTTGCTTTCATTGAACAAATGATTGGACTGCAGACAAATTGTGGGACTGTGGGCCGGACACCTTAAGTGGCGCAAACACCTTACTGCGATCGGCATACAATGGGGTTGCCATTTGTCCTTCCTGCCTTGAAGAAGATGAGACGGCGAAACACATTTTGTGCTGCATTTGTTTTGTGTACTTAGTTCCGACAAAAGAACAAAAGTAAATTAATAATCAAATTAAATAAAAATAGTTTAAAGAGGCCTTGGAGCATGTTCAAAGAATCGAAGAAATATTTTTCAGGAGTTTCGTCTTTTTTTTGTGATAGCTTAAAGTTTCAGGAAAATATTAAAAGCAAACGCTCCGGGTAATCTAATCGAAATCTGAGGTCATTATTAATAATAAACAATTTAAAAGCATTTTATTTTCGATCTTCAATATTTTATTCAAACAACTCAGCGTCTTGATACAATAAGAAATTTAAGAACATCGTAATATTTATATATGTAATTATTTAGGTATTTACTTGTAATGTGTGTATGTATGTATTTTTGTAGTATTAAACAATTAATTTCTAATAATTAACAATGTAATGATAAGTAATGCATAATTACAATTTATGTTAGAGCAATTATTCTTAGAATTTTTTATAGAGTTTTTAAATAAATATATATGCATGTATGTGTATTTTTGTGTTGCAATAGAGTATGAAATATATACTTACAAACACAAGGTATTCGAACATTTAGAAGTGCTTAAAGGAGGGTTCAATCCGGTTCCAAAAACGAACAAAAACTATGTTGTAGTACAATGTGTGCCGGCTTTTAAAGTGTTTTATCATCGCTTATCTGTGAGCATTTGTAGGTGTACATAAAAAGTATACGCCGAAACGCGCATGCGCACATTGATGTGGGCGATAGTTTGCGCACGAACACACACGTTTACTTTCATTGGATAATACTCATAAGCATGTATTGTATGTATTACATATTTATTTGGATTTGTAGATTTATTCGAGTGTTCGTAGGTTAAGGTTAAATAAGGAAGCTATAAAAAACAATAATAAAACTTTTACGAGATTTTTTGGGTAACAAAATACTATACAACAACATCAACACGTTATTAACAGAATATCAGTTTTGTATCAATCCAGTTGGCGAATTCGATGGACTTCGAGCACAACGCGGCAGTGGTAGGGGACGCGCATCGTATAATCTAATATTTATAAAGCTTCTAGATGCGCTTTTGATGGTTCCTTTACTGTGCGCGTGGCTTTATTTAATTTATAAGGGAAGCGCGCGCGCGGAAACGACTTTCTTCAGCGCGTATTACTGCTGCCGTTAACGCATTGCCGCTACTACCCTACCTACTACTGCTATGTGTATTTACATTTGCAAGTTTTGCTGTTGTCGTTGTTGACTAACGCCGCGCCTCGATGCGTCGCGCGCTGGTAGCGGCTGTTTGCTGCTGCGCCAAGCGCTCGGTCGCCTCACGTACGCGACTGCTTAACCGAAGTGGCGCTGATACGCGCCCAAACAATGGCGAACTGGGCATGGATGTGCACTGTTTTTGCTGTTGTTGTTGTAATGTTGAGTTCGTTGATTTCGTTGTGGCGGTTGCTGCGTTTGCTGTGCGGTAAAAAGAAAACAAAAAATATTAATAAAAATCTAAATTCAAAAGCAACTCCCAATGTCTCTCTCTCTCACTCTCTTCAAGCTTAAAAAAAAGAAATGCGACTATGTACTTTGGCTATTGTAGGCGAAGCGTTTGTTAGCAGCATGCTTGCCATGTTCGCGCGCGCTGATGGGCAGCGGTGATGTTTGCGTGGCTCCCAACTTTCCCGAATTCACCGCCTTGGCATTGTTGCTGCCGCTAGACGCGTTGTTAAATTTATTCTTCAACTGTGAAACTTTTCCCGCTGCTTCGAAAATCGGTTTGGACTGCTGCTTGGGTTTTTCGCGCAGCGCGTTATTCTCCAGCGATTTCTTGCGCATCTTAACGGTGTTGGTGAAGTCGGAGCGCATGATGGGTTCACGGTGTGGTGGCGATGCTAATACTGCAGTAGTGTCCAGCACATTAACGTGCGAGGTGGAGGTGGGTGACACAGACAGTGGTGGCGCTTCGGTCATTGTCACGAAGACCGCATCCGTTCCCAGCGCTGGCAAGTACGTTTCCATTGCGCTCTCTTCCATTGCTGGCGCTGCTGTGTTCAAACTCGCTTGTCGCAACTGCTGCCCCAATGCGCTTAGCGTATCTGTATGTTTTTCATCAAAACATGGTAGCGCCAAGTCTGTCGTCGACTCAACCTCGGCAACGTGTCTTCCTTCCCCACGCTGACTACTGCGCGTACTGCATTCGATTTCCGTTTGCTGTGCGATTTCTTCCAACTTCGACTTGAGTACAAGGTGTGGTACGCCCAGCGACAGCAGCGTCTCTGCGTTTGCTGCCGCCAGTTCATCCGCAGCGCTATGCTGTGCTATCACCGGCACAGTCGTCGAGCCAATGCAGTGGCACGGCAAATTTCCACCTGCGCTGCAGTTCGAGCACTCGCTGTAACCGGAATCGCTACGTTCGCTACATTGCGATTTGTCGCGCACTTTCAGCGTTTTTTGTATGCGTCGCTGCGCCTCAAGCGTTGTTGGCGCCGGCAGCTCAATGCTAAAGTCGTCATCTTCTTCGTGCAATGAACCCATGTGCGTGCCGTTATGCGGATTAAAGATGTGATGTAGACCGGATATGGAAGGTCGTGGACTGTTGGGTAGACTTCCAGCGCCGGAAATGGCGGAATTGCGACGCGAAGCAGAGAGCGTAGCCATGCGGCCTAAAGCGCGTATAGCATTTCCGGTTTTCTTGGGTTCAATGGTAAAGCGATAAGCAAAGCGTTGGCATATTTGCGTAGATGGTTTTAGCGATAAGCAAGCAGGGAATCAAATGAAAATAACAAAATGAAAAAAATTATAATAATTAAAAATTTAAAATGTTAATTTTTATGATTTCAAATTAGGCGTGCTGATTTGTATAATAAAGTAGTGAAAACAGTCTGTGTAAACGTGTAACTAAGCAAAACAGCCCCACCATCTGTTGTGGACACGGTTTGGCACCTGCCACATAAAAAGCCCTTCCAATGAAAAGTTACAACATGCCTCGAATAAGTACCCCTACTTTGGTTGCCGACCCCTGCCAACGTTTGAAGGACTACGATTTGAGGGCATGACCCTGAAGAGATGAAATGGACGGGCAAGATAAGAAGACGTCAACCACCACGCACAAACGGACTGAGGCTGATCGCCTTCGCTGAGTATAGAAAAATGGCAGTCTAAGAAAACGTAAAGCTACCTACGTAGCTGCCACCGGATTGATAAACGTGGAAACAGATCGGTCATATTGTGATAGAATTCCGCTGGCCCACAGAAACAAATGGTACAATAATTTAAGCCCACACAGAAAAAAGGATGTTGCCTAGAGCCATGCGCTGCGAGATTCGAATCTTCAAATGGCGGTTTTTTGTTATTTTTTCTTCTTAAATAAAAAGATTCTTTTAATTGTTTGACTGTATTGTTTGAAAGAGAAAAATATATACTTTTTTAATTTCTTAATTTTCAGAAACTTATTTTATAAATTGTTTGTTTTTAATTTTCAATTAAATTTTTGCCATTTTTAATTAAAGTTTCTTTTAATTTTTATGCTTTATTGCTTTAAAATGAAAAGTATATTTGAATTTTATTTGAATTTAAGAAATCTATTTACTTTTTTTATTTAATTTTCTTTTAATTATGCATAAGATTTTGTTTTAAAAATAATAATACTTCTTTAATTTCTCTTAATTATTAGACACTTTTGTTAATTTTTTTCTTATTTTAAGATTTTGTTTTAAAAAGAAAAATATTTTTTTTTCATTTTATTTTCAGAAACTTTTTTTTATCTTTCCCTTGTTTTAATTTTAATTTTTTTTAGAGTTTACTGTTTTAAATGGAAAAATAAAATTTTAACATTATTTAATTTTTTAAGACTTATTTAATTTTATCTTTGTTTGATTTTAATTTTTTAATTTTGTATTAAAAAGAAAAGTATGTATTTTTTAATTTCATTTAAATTTTAGAATCTCATTTTACGTATTTTCTTTAAACTTTTAGATTTTGTGATTAAAAGTTAAAATACTTTTTAAATTTCATTTAATTATTTTATTTTCTTATATATAATTTTTTTGTCTCTTTTAATTTTTCTTCTAAATTTTAGAAGGCGCCAGTTTTATCGGGAGGGCCAGGTAACGATTGTTTTCCTGTCCTTCTCGCAAAATTTTAAAGGCTTTCTCGATACCTCGAAACTTTTGTCTTTCGAAAGACAAAGTGTTCGTTGAAGGCGGTCGTCAGAATCGCCCTATTATCACCACTAAGAACGTCCTCTTTCAAACGTAACGAAGGATCTATCTTGTCAACAATTGTTTGTACTGGGTTGATAATTGAACAGTAAGGCCCTCTTTCAAGGGAAGTAACTGACCCGCAACATGACAGTACTGGCGAATACCGCAGAAGCCTTGACGATGCCATTATCTCACGAGGCGGCCCTTAGAGAGTGGTCTGAAACTATCGAAGGTTTTTGGCCATCGTAACACCATCGATAGTTTTCGTTTTTCTTTCATCATTTTTTTATTGCTTATTGTCAATTTGCATGAGCATTTGACACAACCTGGCAGCACCTTTTAATAAAAGATAGTTCGGCAGCGTATATTTACCAGCATTTTCAGCGGGTGCTTTGATAAGTGAAAAAAGGATAGATTCGAGACAGGAACTAAAGGAAAATAAATAGCTCTAAAAAATGCATTTTTTTTAATTAGCAACGAATCCTTCCGATTCGTATAAATGTTTGCTTTGCTTTAAACAAGTAAAATCTTGTTTTAAAAGTTTCATACAATTTTGAAGAAAATGGCTATGAGAAGTTTCTTACTCTCCTGTCAAATTTCTAAAAATGGAATTAGCTACTTTTCATTCTAAGCAAGCGATATACTGATTATGTAAGAAAAATTTTTACAAATATGCCAAGCGCAATATAAGGCCAAATCGTAAGTTTAGAAGACTATCGATAACTAGCGATAGTTATCGATGGTTTCTAAACAACTATCGTATACTATCGATATTGTCGACTATCGATAGTTTCAGACCACAACCTTGGAGTGTTCGCCAAAAAATATTTTACGAAAGATTTGGAGCGTTTGATGTCGAGTATCAAAGAAGCTGTGATGATAAGCAATTGTATCTCTAAATAGAATAGCATTAGATACAGCGACAACGCTGTTTATGCCATGTCCGTTACTATGCATGATGGTCCGCTTGATAGTTGCGTGAGATTTAATGAGAAAAAAATTGCTAGCTTTAAATGGAAATATCAACCTCCAATGAAAAGTTTAAAAAATTAGCTGGTTCTTTACTACATTTTGCCAGGAAAAAAAAACTCCAGAGCAACTAAAATAAAATTTCTTTCTTTTCAATTACTTACCTGCCACTTGCGTCGTATTATGAATTTCTTTAGTTTGTCTGTGCAGATTTTATTACTGAGATTTTCGTCATGTTCCTGCGTTAGCCATATCGATTCCAAACATTGTTTTGCTGTCCAACGATCTTCTTTGCGATGCACCAACAGATTCGAAATGAAGTCCTTTGCCTCTTGTGATACACAATCGAAAGCTTCATCATCGAAATCGTAATCGGCGCGTGTTATATTCGAGAAAGTGTCCACATCTGTGTCCCCCATGAAAGGTGATAAGCCAGATAAGCTGGTATAAAGAGGAAGAAAAAATGCGTCTGTGTATTTAAGAAATCAAAGCACCAATATATTCGAGTAATAGCTTACAGCACATAACAAATGACGCCCACGCTCCACATATCCGACTGAAAACCGATGGGTTCATAACTAATTATCTCGGGTGGTATGAACTCTGGCGTGCCAAATAGTACGCGCACTGGCGTTTTCATATTCAGCCGCTGTGCCAGACCGAAATCGATTATTTTAATTTGATGGCTGGTGCGTGTATGGCACATAATATTTTCTGGTTTCAGGTCCAAGTGTACAATCGACTGGGTGTGCATGTAGGCGACACCTTCGCACACTTGTCGCAGGAAGAGTATGCAATCGCGTTCGGTGAGCGTGAAATCGTCGGCAACAACGCGTTCGAATAGCTCACCGCCAGTGATGCTGCAATGAAGTGAATTTATCAAACATTGTTAGTATAAGTTAGAAATTTTAACTAGAATGTGAAGGTATTGCAATTTCATTGCTGCACTTACTACTCCATCACCATTACGATTTCGCGTGGGCTTTCAAAAGAAGCAGCAAGTTGCAATAGCTTCGGATGTTGCAATGATTTCATTATCGATATCTCTTCCAATACTTTTTGACGATCTTGCGCTTTAATGCATTTAATCACTTTTGCGGCGAGTATTTGTCGTGTCTCCTCACGTTCCTGTACACGATAGACGACACCGAAGCGCCCCTTGCCCAACTCCTCGAGTACTTCGAAGCGATTTTTAAAATCGCCACCTGACTTAACGCTAATCGGCCTGTGGAAGTCTGGAAGAGAAAAACAAACCAAATTTTAAATCAATGATTATATAACTAACAAACAGGCATATTCTGGTGATATATATAAATGTTCTCGAATCGCTGTCGAAATTTTCTGATTTATGAAATCTAAAACCGAATCTTAACAATGATGTTCGACGTAAACACAACTGGATAAGATGTAAAGCGATAGACGCTGTTCCGAAAATGGATATCCCAACTACCTGTCTAGGATGCGAAGCGATGGTGGTATTAGAGCTGAAAGGGCAAACAATTTCTATTGCTGTCCTTCTGTAGGCTAATCTTTCACGAACAGTTTCGCTTCCCTGTTTTGCCAAAGAGGACAACCTGCTTTGCTCTTCTACTCATTTTGTCCCGACTATCTTGCTCTTGGCAATCCAGTAATATGGGCTCTTATAGCCCAATTTAAGCTCAAGTTCCAGACGGATGACAAGATCTCAAACTTTTTCGCCCCCTCCTTAACCCGTTAATTTGTTATGAGGACCGTCACGATCTGATTTATTAGCCTACTATCATGATTATTCCGACTAAATAACTAAACGCTTGGGGGACCAAAGTAAAAATATAAACATATATAAGTCGATGACCTCATCCAGCATTGGAGGGCGAAACACTTCAGCCGCCAAATAAATACCCATTGATAGCTACGAAAGAATTTATTCGACAGTTTAAATTTTCTGTTTTGCATGCGTTACCATGAAGCAGCGGTCTATAATAACCCCGATTTCAAGTCGAAGTAGGAGCTGCAGCTTTTGAAAGAGTGGGCTAGATCTGCAGATAATCTTATATTCACCTGCCGAAGAGCAGAATTAATTCTATATATGAATATCGTCGCTACCATGTCAAACTATCGAATGTGAAAATGAGTATTTTTTAGGAGAGCAAAAAAACGGCTGCAAAAACTGTTGCTGTAGGAAAAAGTCTGGGATTCGACACTTTGTTAAAGCCAGTATCCTCTGCTTTGAATAAGACTCGATTTTTGACGATTTGCCAACTTGCCTATCATTCTTAACGCACGCGCAACGTATAGTAATTGAAAAAAAGCATTTTGCACATTCGATAGTTTGACATGGTAGCGACGATATGTATGTAAGGCAAGCCTCTTTGGCAACACATTAGGAATATGTATTTATTACATACAATGTCGCTCTAACATTAACATTATGTAGCATTAAACGAAAACTTCCAAAAATACTCAAAAAATACTTGTGAAGGAACATCTTTTTTGTGGAAGTTTAACAGCATGGTACTGCTGATTTATGTTCCTCTTCGGAACATAATTTGTTTGATTCCTTTTTTTATGTATATAGCGCTCAATATCTTCACTTCTCTTCTTTCCATACCCTTTTTGTTAGAGTATGAGTAGTTTACATATTTGAAAAAAACTTCAGAGTGAAGCAAACTGAATTCCGATGCAGACCTTTAGTATTTATACACTCCATGACTATTCTCGATATTGATTTAGTAGCTAACTGCCTATCAATCGATCAAACCCCTTACAACTTCGTGGAATGCAAAATACTGCAGAAATCTGGTAACGGAAAATTGAGGTTCAGAAGAGTTCTTGTTCACTCCTTGAGTTCTAATTCGCAGTTCGTGTCATTCCATTTAGTGCAACTACGGTTTCCCAAATAGTACACAAAACCACAAGTAGAAGATGCAGCAAGGCCTCTAGAGGCTTTGTATGTTGGCGCATTCCTCATTGTACTTAGACCGTTGATGGTCACAGGCTACGATGCCGTAGAATAAAATAGATCGTACAACTACTGACTACATCCAGCCACATCTGATTTGAGGGCGTCCTGGGTATTAGAGCCTTCTTAACAGGTAGCTGAAGCTGGGAAATTTTCCATGCCCGTTTTTGTCAAATTAACTTTTAGGCTAATTTCTAAGGGGCAGTTTACCACATGCGATGTGGAATAAACAAAACTTTCGTCAAGGTCCATACTTTGGTATGAAATTTAGTATTAAACAAGCCTTATAAATGACAAATGACATCTGGCAACGGGCACAGAATGTCATATGCCGCCTATATGCTATGATGGGCACTATTTCCTTCCTAAAAAACACGATTTCATTTGTTCACCTCCTCTTCTTTATTGCCCCGGGCTTCTTTTCCTAAAACGCGTTTTTTAAATAAATACTTAAGTATGTATGCTGTGGTATAATGGTTAGCAGTGCGCGCTACCATTCCACAGGGCCTGGGTTCAAGACCAGTTTCCGACCAACATGAAAACATAAAAAATAAATGCACTGATCCGATCGAAATCATGAGCCATTTGCTGTAGTACTGCCCCAATTTGGGGGCCAAATTACTCTTTTTTATTATTGCTAACCAAGAGAAACCTACATATAGTTTATAAGTAACTACCACAATCGGAGTGCGGAAAACGGTTTGAGCACATGCGATATATTTTCACAAGCAATAAAGCCAATTTCGAAGAAAAAAATTTTATTCCATTTATGCATCATAATCCAAATTTAGTCTTCCTTTATGTTCTTTATTATCACCCCAAATATCCCTTCCCTCCTCACTTACCTTCAGTTGAAACTTCTTGAGCTTGCAACTCAACCGCGTCACTGGGCAAACTGGGTGCGCTGCAGCCGTGTACATTTTTGGCGCGCACACGAAATCGATATGTGGCGTTCGGTGTCAAATTCTTAACGGTGTACGCTAATGAGTCCACAACGGTAGCGATTTCATGCCAACCGCCGCTTTCGCCATCAGTCAATTCGTCACATTCAACATTCTGTGCGGCAGTAGGCAACTGTTGCATTTCAATGCTGAAATATTAAAGAACAAAACATGGATTAGCTTACCAGCAGCTTTAGAATGAATTATCGTAATATATTTGGATATTGTGGCTTTTACGTACATAAAACCAGTTATCATACAACCGCCATCGTAGGGTGGGCCACACCATGCCACCGCAATGCGATCGGGACCTTGTGAGATACTTGGCTTGCCGCTGGGCGCATCTGGTGGTCCTTCCACCGCCACCGAAGCGGCCGCCGCATCGCTGCCAAACGCATTCATAATCTCCACCGTATATTTGCCGCTATCATCGGCCGCAATGTCGGTGATTAAAAGCGTTGAACGCTTAGCGCTGCTACGTATACAAATGTTACGCTGCTCGACAATGGGACGGCACTACAAAGAAGATATTTCAAAAAAATAAAATAAAATTAATCAAACGAACAAAAGTATGTGATTATTAATTAGTTTGTACCCTGCACGCTAAAATGTTACAATAAATATTTGATGTGGTTTGAGGTGTTGAAGTGACAGCAAATATATGTTTGCAATAAGCGAACAAACGTCGTGTCGGTATGTGAAGACAGGTGGAATCCATGGGCACAGCACAGCTGAGTAACAAACGATCGATCAATCGATCACAGGTAATCACTCGCAATCACTCATGGGGCACAACACAACACAAAACGAGACAACAAATCAAGCAGACAGTTAGCTCGTTAGACGACAGTCCATCAGTCAGTCAGTCAGTCAGTCACTCAGCGCCGGTTAGCCACCCCCCTTATTTGCCATTTTGCGAGTTTATCGTAATAAGCCCTTGGAAATGTGAGCAAGCCTTGCTTGTGAGTACAGCCACAGAAAATAACATTGTTCTTGTGGTTTTCGGTGTATATGCATATGTATGTATGTAGGAGTGTTAAGACAAATATATATGTACTATGCACATAGCCACCCATATTGCGCCAATTGGGTGTTAAGGCAAACGCTACCACGGACTGTAGGTATTCAAGTGGTGCAGGCAGGCAGGCAGGCACCTTCACCGCAAACTGATCGTGACATTTTTCTTCTTTTTACTCAAAATTATTTTGTTTTATGTTTATCTAAGCGTTTTACTTTTGTTTATAATTGCGTTATATATTTTATAAATTTTGCTTACGTCAGCAATTTTAAAATGAGCTGGAAAATGATGAGCTACATAAAACCTCACACCAAATGACGGAGCATTGATAAATAGTTTAGCGCAAAAAGTGAATTCAAAACATTCCCAGGCGAACTAATTATGTAGAACGTGCTTCTAATAAGAACGTCTTTTGAGACATTGTGACATTTTTAGTTAAAGAAACATGATAATATTTCTTTTAGGTAGGATAAAAAAGTATTTACCGAGCGCAAAAAAAAGCTGAACTGAGTAGGATTCAATAGTTGGATTGAGTGGGCAAGTAAAGAGGTGGCTGGTGTCGTGGGGAGAGAGTTCTGCCTCTTGTTATTGGGGGAGTTTCGAAATGTAGCAATTAAACAACAACGGGGAGAGGACAACACCCTGTGTAACCCCTTGTTTGATTCCCCTATGTTTTGATGTTTTTATCTTAAAAAATAATTGCCGAGTCTCGGACCCTCAGATAATTATCCGATCACCGTTAGTCTTCTAGTAGCATGGACGACAGCGAACGCTACGATGGAGGTCGTAAGGCCTCTAATGTCTAGGCGATTGAGAACCTTGGTGAGGTTGTCTGCTCCCGCTGGACCCAATCTGTTCAGCATCAGCATGCGTATTCCGTCGGCGTCAATGGCTTTGAAGGCTTTAAGGGCAAGGGCAACATCCAAGGCGCACCAATACAAGGTGGTGTTGATTGATCAGCTGAGTGGATATTTTTATCTCTACACTAGTGCAGGAGAATGTCATCCAAGACGAAGTGGCTCAACTTTAGGATGTCAACAAAACAAAATGGCGAAAATTATCTCCTATTCCCTTTCGTTTTGACATCCTCCTGTACCAAAAAGCAATAACAAAATACACGGGACCTTTACTTATATGCAATTGCCACCACCTTGTATTGATGCGCCTTGGAAAAACCTGTACCTCACCGCTGGTTAAAACAAGAAGGGGACTTCGTTTGTGCAGCCTTTTGATCACTCGACGTTTGGTTCCGTCTACCGGATGATGCAGAATGAATTGGCGGCTCAAATGGCTCGCGCATCTCTCCACGCCCGACGAGGAACGATCACCGAATTAAATTTCCACCCTGTCATCGTGTTTCGTCGTGGTGGACAGTGACCTTATGCTTCACCAAAGCTTGCTCACACCAGAGGTTAATTTGCAAGTTTTGAGGTGATCCCCCACTTCTTCCGCTTGTACAGGTTTACCAGTTGCCGAATCAACGCATTGAGATCCCTGATACGAGGATTCCCGTTATCAGCCAGGCGGAGGTAGTTACGCTCTTTCGCTAGAACAGTCGCTTCGGCGGGAAAATTAGATCCTGCCAGATCAGCTTCAAAAATATGCACACCCGGAGGTTTTGATGATTTTATTTAGTTATATTTTCCATAGAAAACGTTTCTTTATTTTTAACTTCTTCACTTCAAAAAAGGAGAAGGTTATCAATTCGTTGGAATATATTTTTTTTATGTATGTTATCGCATACCTTAGGACCACGTCAACGATTCTGATAATTCTTTTTCTATCGGAAATGTAGTGTCTCCCAGGTGGTCCCGTACTAATTTGGTTTAGATCCGATAATTGGATCATGAAGAAATCAACAGTACACCTAAATTTTTATATGAGAATTGAAGTCGATTGTGTTTTTTCATAAAAATTACTTCTTTATAAAAATATATTTCATTCAACCATGGACCGTAACAGTTACAACTTTTATTAAAAAAAATCGCTCTTTAATAATTTTTTATTTGTACTTTCATTTAATTACTCCTTAAATAACCGTTATTTCTGACTTAAATTTTATAAATCCAAAATAACAATTATTTTTTATTTTTATCTTAATAATCGGCAAATAACAATTATTTTTAAATTGTATGTCTTAGATAATAGTTATTGAATACTTTTATTTATAAAAGTCATAAATAAAAATCAGTCAAATCAGTAAAAATTGGAAAACTTTGTATGGAAAATATATATGTATATGTAATTAAAATCGTCAAATCGACAGGGTATGCATATTTTTGTCGCTGACTGTATGTATGTATATGTGTACTTATTTTCAATGAACGAGTAGGCACAACTCACACCAAATCTTGCATTCTGTGGGCATAACCGACGTAAGAAAAGGATGAGGAGACCAACGGGACATTTTAACGAGCATTTGATTAAAGAGTGAGAAGACAATTAAATCACGCTGTTAGGTGTAACACATGCTTCGAGCGTACATCTGAGCGTCCGTTCTGGTAATTGTTTTACCAAAAATGATAATGTCGTTAGAAGTGAGATCCCAGCCTCTAAATCGGTTAGTCCGGAACTCTTTCTCACTAACTCATAAGCAATTTAATTTCCGGAAGTGTTGCGACAAGCAGTGGCCTATGTTATGGTCTTCGGCGATAGCAATTACCTCTGTCTGGAAAACACCCGTAAAGTCAGGTAGGCGTACATACTAGAGCTGGGATACTATCGATAGTAATATCGATACTTGGAAACTGTCGCCACTATCGATAGTTTTTGAAAACTATCGATGTCGGTTTTAGCGAAACTTCTCTCTTTTTACATCTCTTAACATTACATTATTTTTTTATCCAAGAGAATTAACAATACAGTCGGCAAAAAAGAAAATTTTAGTTATTGGAATTTTTAGCACCTATCAGTTTACAATGAGTTATAGTAAAATTTAATAAGCTATAAAACCGCTTACACAAAATTTGTATAGAATTTCTTATTAAAAAGCTTGAAATTTTAATGATTTTGTAGTTTTTTATGTTTAATACAACTTTTATAAAAAATTAGTAGACACTAAACAAACAAAAAAATTCTCAAAACTGTTAAAAATATTGTGGTGCTATTATTTTGACAAGTACTTTATTCGTTTTCTTATAATATGGTAAAATTGTAATAATTTCCTTTGTCCTGATTTTGATATGCGCCTCCGTATTTGATCTCAGTTGAACTTTTAAAAGTATGAGTTGTCAATTTAAACGAATATCTTTTGTTTTGTTTGTTTTTTAGTATTAGAAATGTATGTATTATTATATGTATTATTATAGCCAATTTCTCTTCTTTGCACTTCAAAAGGGACAAACAAAATCCGAATTTGATTTTTCCATGTAAAAAATAAATTCAGATTTTGCCTGTCGCTATTCAAGTGTATGCAAGTGTGTGTTTATACATAAGTATATATAATTCAGCCGCATAAATTATTAAGTTTATTTTATTATTATAAGAAATTCTTTTTGATGCACTCAAATTTAAACAAATTTATATAATCCCTTTAATTTACAAAGTAATTTATAAATTTTAAAAATTCGTTAATTATTTAATTTTCAAGCAATTTAGCATTTCAATTTAATACCTCTCATGACGATAGTAATATCGATACTATCGATGTTTTCAACTATCGATAGCATCCCAGCTCTAGTATGATCTGTTTACTACCAGGGACATAGGCAACGTCAAACTCATAAAAATGTTCGTACAACGATTGCGCTCTCTTAGGCATGATAAGGTGAAAATATCCCTCAATGTAGGGACCTCTTGGTATGAGTAACTGGCAGAAATTTACAAAAAAAAAGGGTGAGGGGGAATTGCCTAAGTCTTTTGGTCTCGGCCAAAAATGAGAAATGGCTGTGGTGTCAAATAAAATAGTATACAATTCAGGATTCGCTAGTGACACACCGGTTCAGTGTTAGTCGATTTTTTTTGCAGGGCTTATTACTTTGAAAAGAGCAGTTTAAGCATTCGATTAGTATTTCTTTGCGAAGCTTTACAATAACAAGTAAATAGAGAATAGGGCATGTAGCAAAAATGAATAGAAATCGCAAGATCGACTTTGGGGAATCATAGAAAAGGTAAATAGTGGAACTACAAATTTCGTATTTCAGTATTAAATTAGGGGAGCTCACAAGCTGTAACAATAATTTTATATTTTAGCTATTCGATTATCGTAACTATGGCTATTTCTGTTAGCGCCATATACAGCGGCGGGCGAATAAACACGGACGCGACATTTTAGCAAGTTGTTTGCTATTTTCACTTTGCTGATTTAACGTTTATTAAATTCCAAACTTTGTACAATATTTATAAAAATTCGACGAATTTCAATAAATCTGCATGACGGTGTTGTTTAGTTTCCTCCGTTACGTACGGAAGAAAATTAATGCGTGACACTGTCCGCAAAAAGTGTTAAAATTAAAGGTAAGTCCCAGATACTTCAAAATTGCAGTTTGCTGCACTAAAATTTCATGGGCTACAAAACTGCGTAATATTTTTTTTTAAGCCCGAATTAAAAACTTTCGAGATTTTCATGAATCACTGTCGAATTTTCACAATTTTTGTCTAAAGTGTGAAATTTGGACTGACATGGTTTTCGTTAGATGGTGAGCTAAAAAAAATATCAAACAAAATAAAAAAAGCCAAAACTTGTTAAAATGTTGCGTCCATATTTATTTTCCCGCTACTGTATGTACGAGCACTTATAATTTCTGCTTGCGATTTCTAAATATAAACGTCGAAATGATTTGCCATTATAAATAATGCGCCTCATATCCATTCCTCTCTCTAGCTACTGTAAGCCCTTATGTAGCAATAAAGGCGTCAATGACGAAGTCGCCTTGTGTTATTACCATTTACAATGACGCAGTTTGCGTACTAGTTTCCCAGCGATTCACCTTTAAAGGTGCGCCAACGTCAACCATCTGCCCAATCACCAAACGGCAACTGCATACCGCAAACATTTAAAGCACATTTATGGTAAAATAAAGCAATGCATGCGCCATTACGCAAAACGAAAACAAATCCAGAGGAGAATGCAGTTGTCGAAGTGGGCTGGAAGCCCACTCAACTTGCATTTAAAAAAAAAAAAATTAAATATATAAATAAAAATATTTCAACTACATAAATACATACATATATTTCATACATGTACTCACCCCTTTGAACCAGCTGGCTTGTGCGCGCGGCACAGCCTCGTAGCTGACGCTTAGCTTAACGCTGCCACCGATGAGAGCGGTACAATCCTGTGGTCCCTCCAAAATGCATGCAGGCACCTCGACCTGCTCGGGCTGTATCAGCGCCTCGATTGTCTTATCAGCGTCGTCACTTGTATGTGGACGTGGAGTCTGCTCAGCTGTGGGCGCGCGTCCTGGCAGCACAATGAGGCTAGTGTAAGCGCGTAGCGTCGAACTTGGCTTACCAAGATGTGTCACACTCAATTGCACCTCGCCGCAATGTCGCTGTTTGACGTTCTGTATGCGGAGTATGCGTATGCCGTCTGGCTCGTTGGATACATGCGTCGTCGTACGCGACTGCTGGAGTACCAACCAAGCCGCAATTGAAACAGCAGCCGAAAGTAATAAAAAAAAAACAGCGCCGAAAAAGAGAAAGCAAAGCAAACAAGTGTCGCGCATTGAGATAAAAATGCAAATACTAATTGTGTATGTATGTAAAGTGAATAATAAAAAATATTCCACCTTCGTTTACAAAGGGAGCAATTGTAGAGCATACGCGCGCCAAAAAAAAACAAATAAACACAGGCGTCTAATTATTATGCATTACCTAGGAGCTGGTACACTAGTAAACCACTAGCGCGGGAATTATCTACTCATAAAATTTTATGCAAAACACACTTTTATCTACATTTATTTGCACAAACGGCCAATTATCCGACTAAAAGACAATAAAATTGTATTTACTTGCAAAAATTGTATTTACTTAACAAAACCAGGAGAATGAAACGTCAAACAGAAGAAAGCGCGAAAATTGCAGCGGTAAATTGTAGAAAACCGCAAGGCGACACTACGCGACGACAATCAGCGCCGAACTGGCAAAGCAGCCCGTCGCAGCTGTGCTAATTAACAGCGCCCGCTCAGCCTTAAATTCCATTAGTGGACTACTTGGTTGCGGCTACATGTCTCAGTTTGGCAAGAAGGCCGACAGCGAGCGATGAAATACTAAGAATAATCAACGCTTCAGGCAGGTGGCCAATTGGGGCGCCTGGAGCGCAAACGAAACATCAATACGAGATCGCAAAATGCCAATTACTGGAATTATGTTCTCAGACACAAGCGCTCCATGCAGTGATCCGCGGAGAAATTGAGTACAGTAACTCTCAACATGGAATTATTTTGTTCTCAATTGCTTGATAAAAAATTTAATCAATGGAAGAATAAAGTAAATACGGCACTACATGCATACAGCAGGAGAGAATTTGAACTACTCCTGAGCGCAAAATATAAATATTTAAAATAAACAAATACATACTAAATATGTAGATAACATCATCTGCATTTGACCTATCTTTTCCTCTACGCCATTTTCACGAAATATTCATTGATCCCTATATGTCGCGTGATAATATTACAATGAATCATCGAGTCTTATTTGTAGGCACATTTTGGAATATCTTCCAGTTTTTTTCTGAACGTGTTAGGTTTTATGTCTATACAAATAGGCCCACAAATGTGGCCGGAAATGTTAAATTTCATCCGATTTCGATGAAATTTATTTTGTACTCTCTCCTTTATTAGAAAACCCTCTATATAAAATATCTATCTCTATATAATATTTTTAACCTAATCGCGACATATGTATGTATGTGATAAGAAAATTATTTAAAATTATATATAAGTAAAATCACTTATCATAATATGGGTATCGATCAAAATGGTTTTATTTCTTACTTGTATGTAGGAGGGTTGCCACCTGTTTACAAAGTTAAATTTATTTTATGCGATGGGTTAAATAAATTACTTCAATATCGATATCAATCTAAATTTCTTTGAAGACATTTATTTCCAAAGTATATGTAGGAGGGTTGCCACCGGATTTAAAAATTCAACTTAACATGAATTAATGGAATTAGCTAATTTAAATATGTATCACAACACGAGTATCAGACGAAAGGTATTAGTTTGAAAATATTTTTTAAAGGATTAAATCCTGGTTACAAAGTTAAATTTGATGTACACGATAAAGGAGTTACTACAATATTGACATCAATAAAAAGGGCCCTGAAAAAACTTTATTTCTAAACTGCAACTGTTCACATAATCAAGTTCAACTTAATTTAAGGCAATTAGGAAATTGAAATATGTACCTCGATATAAGTGTCACACGACAGGGGTTTTGTTAAACCGTATAATGTAAAGCACATGTATTTATTTCCAAGTCAATTGTTTTATGAAAAAAAAAACAATAGAAAAAAATTGAATTGAAAAAATAAGACTTGCTATTGAACGGTTAGCAGCCAAACGCAACTAGTTGATATCGCGCCGATTCTAGAATGTCGTTGGGTAAGTAAATGTTGCGAAGTTTTGTATTAACTACTTTTACTTTTCCCTCTCTGAGCTAAACAAGATTTTCTATCAACTGTTAACATGACTTTTTTGCGCTCACCTCCGGCATCAGCCTGCGATCTTCTCTATAATCTCCTATAGACTGAACGAGTCATAGTAGAAGTCCTTATATACACATGTAAATATGTTTTTAAGCTGCCGCAAAAAGTAAAACGATTCGGTTTTCACAGTGGGTTTTCTATGGCCTATTTGCGTGACAATTTTCGTACTCTAGTCAAAACTTCAAGTAATTTTTAGCAAAAAAAAACCGACTTCAACTCCCATATAAAAAAAATATATATATATATATATCTCATGATCCACTGATCGGATCTCAACCAGATTAGTATGGGACCACCTCTGAGACACTACCTTTCCGATGCAAATTATCGAAATCGGTTGACGTGGTCCAAAGTTATGTGGTAACATACATAAACAAAAAAAAAAAACGACGAACTGATAACCTCCTCCTTTTTTGGAAGTCGGTTAAAAATACAAACCGAAACCGTATATGACGCAGATTAGATGGTAAATTCTACCGTGATCTTAAGTATATCGCGGCCCCCCTTAACTTTTTTGTTTGTGTAATGCCGTAAGTGGAAAGAGATTATCCTCGACCCTAACACCTGTTAAGAGCACACATATGCATGTAATTTAGGGTGGTCCCAAACAAATAAAGAGCAAATTTTAATGCTCTCAACACCTAGGAGTATTCTGTAATTTATATTTTGAAATCAAAAAATATTTAGAGGTCGCTCAAAGCGCTCAAAGTTTTCCATGTATTTTTTATGGAAAAAACACCTTTTCGTAGAAATGGAATGGAATACTTGAAAATCAATATTTTTCGATTGTATAACTCTGGTTCTCTTCAGGAGACTTCCAATAACAATTCCCAGTTATTTATTTAACCATTTTTTAATATTAAAGATTTTTTTATTTTCCACCCATTCCATTTTCTGGCATTTTCTGCCATTTTCTGGGGGTTTTGGCGGACCTATAAAATATAGTGACTATTAAAAAATGGATAAATAACCAATTGGATATTATTACTGGGAATCTCCTGAAGAAAAACAGAGTTTCCCGATCGAAAAATATTGATTTTCAAGATGGCTATACCATTTCTACGAAAAGTTGTTTTTTATCCCTTATAAAATACATGGGACACTTTGGGCGCTTTGAGCGAAATGAAAAATAGGGATATATTTTTTTCGGTATAGGGGGTGAGAGCATAAAAATTCGGACTTAACTTTTTTCCGCGCATTTTTGGACCACCATATTGTACATACATACAGTGATGGAAGAAATAATAGGAACTTTTTATTTTGACCAGTTTTGGCTATATTACTGTTTTTTTATTCGATGTTTAATATATTTATAAATCTAGATTTTAATTTTTGTACAAAACTTACAAAAATTCAACAAACTTTACCAAATTCTCCCAAAATTTTCACACTTTTTAGTCAGATTTTTTTTTTGAATTTTCTGCAGTTTTATAGTCTATTAAACTTTATTTTTTGTTTAACCGATGTTTAATATTTTTGTCTAAAAGTCTAGCGCAGTATATAACACGCAAAAATTATAAAAATTCAACAAATTTTACCCAAATCCCCCAAAAATTTCAAACTTTATTCAGATTTTTTTGAAAAATTTTCGGTATGCAGTTTTTTGGTCTATTAAATTTTATTAGTACAAAGTGCAAATTTCAAGAAAATCTAAAAAATCGCGTTAATTTTTAATACTCTTTTTGGCTGACGGTGTTGTGCATTTTCTTCCATAAAAAGTTCCTATGCTCGACCATGCTCAAAGTTTCTTTTTATATGAAAGAAAATACCTAGCGGCGTGAACAAAAATTTCTTTGAAAATCAACGCTATTTTCTAGATTTTCTTGAAATTTGTACTTTAAACTACTAAAATTTAATGCGCTATAAAACTGCGTCAAAATAAAATCTGATCAAAAAGTTAGATTTTTTTTTTTTGAGTTTGGTAAAATTTGTTGATTTTTTATAATTTTTGTGTGTTATATAGTGCGCTTACTTTTATACAAAAATATTAAACATCGGATGAACAAAAGTGATATAGCCAAAACTGGTCAAAATAAAAATTTTCTATTATTTCTTCCAACACGTATGTATGTATATTTCACACTCTTAAATTAATTCGTGATTAATTCAGTTTAGCACAAAACAAAAATATACGAGTTAATCACTAAAGCAGGTAGCATAGATACATATGTATGTACTTATCTAAACGCACTCAACAAGTATAATTAACTTAGGTTATCAAAAATGCATAGATAATATTTATCCAAAGAGCTCGCCAACGTATACTGTGCACTTGTAAAAAAAAAATTAAATGTTTGGCGATACAAAAGTTAACTTTAAAAAAATATGGGCTCCCGCATTTCCCAGTGTCACTTGTGTCAACAACGAAGTTGTCGATATGAACAGGCATGTCTAGCAATTAGCTCTCAATAGAAGTAACTATGAGTACGAGGAGAAGATAAAGGTGAGTTTCACAATAGTGATAGTAAAAAATTATTCTCCTGTCTGGCGCGTTCTGTACTGGAACCTTATCATATACATACATACATACATACATATGTGTGTTTATATGTATTGTTTATAATTTATCATTTTCATTGAAATCCACCGAATAATGACAAGCTTTTCTATTATATAGATAAGCGACTTTGTAGCTACCTTTTTGAGTAACATTTTGTTGTTATCGTTCTTCATACACTTTTCTTAAGGAAATATATATTTATTTTGGTAAACTAATTTCTTAAGCCAAATTTCGTTGTAAACAAACATTTGATTTGATAGCGCTTTGGAAGTGCACGACGTCGAAGTTCTACGGCAACTGAACGATCCGACTATTTAGTTTGGTGATTCAACGCGCTGTGGTAGCGGAGTTCCCAAAGTTGCGGATACAATTTCATACATATCTACATATGTTCATAAACACATATGTAG